GTTCAACTACAAGCCGAAATACCTAATATATTATATATATATATATATATATATATATATATATATATATATATATATATATATAAAGATAGGTATGATTGCGTATGCACGCACACCTCCATATACAATCTCATCGACACGCACACACACAAAAATATATATATATATATATATATATTTTTCATTATTTTCTCTCTGTCCACTTTACATTTGAGGCTAAACCCAATATGTTCAAAGATTCGGGTTTCACGAGCTCGTGTGTGTCTGTGTGTCGATGCACATTAAAATCATTTCAGTTTAGATGGGGGCCATGATATTGGGTCACTCACCGAGCGACAGTCAATGGTTTATGAGAGATGCCTACTAACAGACCATGATCACCTACGTCCTGAAACGACACTGGATAAAAAAAATAAAAGAAAAGAAGTTTGGCACAAGGCCAGTAATACAAAGCATCCGGTTAGTATCTAAATCATTAGTTATGATTGAGAAGGTCAGCTTCTCAATTACTGCGTCTCAACGAGAAACGGAAAACATCGATATATAGTTAATATTTACTTACTATTAGGTTGTTCCAAAAGTTCGTAAACACTTGCGAAAAATTGAATTTTTATGCAACACAATCCAGCCCAATCGAGACAAGCGATGGGTTCAGAAAGGGCAAGAGACACCGTCGGTTCCAAAACAAGATCGATTCGGCAAGAAAGTCATGTTGTGTGTTTGGTGGAACTTTTGAAGAATCGTGCATTTTGAGTTGGTTCCGAATGGTCGTGGCATCAGTGCTGAACTTTACTGTCAGCAACTGGAGCGGGTCTACGAAAAGTTGAAGCAAAAGTACTCGGCTCTGATCAACCGAAAGCGCGCTTTGATGCAGCAGGACAATGCCAAGCCACACACTGCCAGGAAGACCAAAGACAAGTTTGAAGAGCTGGACGGCGTTGAGGTTCTGCCACATCCAGCCTACAGTCCTGACTGTTCTCCATCAAATTACGGCCTTTTCCGCTCAATGCAACACTTTCTGAAGGGCCGCCGATTCGACTCGTTTGATGAAGTCAAGGAAGCGTGTCAAGAATTCTTTGATTCGAAGCCGGCTGAATGGTACTTTCACTAGATCCGAAAGCTTGCAGATCGATGGCAGAAAGTCTTGGAAAATGATGGTCTTTATTTTGAGGAATAATTTTTGTTGTTTTTGTTATTACTTGGCGAGTAAAATTTCAATTTTTTGCAAGTGTTTACGAACTTTTGGGACAACCTAATATTACTTAATGTTTCTTTATTATTACTTAGTATCATTTAATCTGAGAACAAGTCCGCAATTATAGAACAACCCTATAAGTATCGAATTCAGTATCGAGCCCAGATTATTAACCATTACAAAACGGAGGATTTATAGGATACTTTTTAAAGTCACTTTCTCTAAAACAATTGTGACGTCCTTTTTTTTTTTTTTTTTTTTTTTTTTAATCAATTCACCCCAAGGAAGGCGATAATGCCACTAAGGAGCAAGGAGGCTACTGGGAGTGAAAGAGAACGAAAAGACTTTAGAAAAGAACCTGAAAACTAGTCCTAAACAGCAAACAAGGGATAAACCTCTACTCCTGTTCAAAAGACCGGGGATGAGTGTGAATCAGAACACAGGAGTGTTATTGATAAGGAGCTAGTTTCCCATACCAGGAGAATTGGGTTCAATCCTTAGCAGCTAAAATATAAATAAGGCATGATCCGAAATATTTAATTATTAGGTGAGTTGCGTATCCTCGTCAGAGAAAAAAAATGTCTCTGAATTGTGTACACTTAGTGTCGTGCGAAGATGAGCAAGCTCATCTCATAGTAGTTGGGTAATTTGATCCTCACTTAGTGCCCTCATTACTGTGACCTTGTGTCTAAGTTAGCCGAGTTTAAGAAATAGCTACACTTCACGAATGTGTACGCTGTGCGGTAGATCACATCTGAACTAAACAAGATTATATACTGCCCAATGATTTCAGAGGCCAAGTTTAGATGATGGGACCAACGGAGGTAGGGGAACGATTGTGAAACTGATATAATGTTCGTTTAGTTTCATTAAGAAATGGTAATTTCATCCCGTCATTGGTTGATTGCATGATATGTGTGAAATATATATATATATATATATATATATATATATATATATATATATAAAGACAGAGAGACAGAGATAGGGAAAGAAATAATAAAAGTCTTTGCGGATGTTAGAAGTTTTTACATTTTTTCTAATTCATGTTTTCTTTCTTTCTTCTTTTTTTTCTTTCTTTCTTTCTTTCTTTCCGCTTGTTTTTTTTTTGTTTATTTATTTCTGCTTATAGTTCTTTCTATTTGCTTTACACATATCATAACTTTTTTCTTTCCGCTTGTCATCCTTTCTTTCTTTTATTTTAGCGTTATTTCTTTTTCTCTTTCTTTCTTTCTTTCTTTCTTTCTTTCTTTCTTTCTTACTTCTGTGCGCTTATCTTTTTTCTCTCTTTATTTATTTCCGTTTGTCGTTTTTTTTTGTTTCTTTGTTTCTTTCTTTCTTTCTTTCTCCTTTTCCTTTCTTTCTTTTATATTTCGTTATTTCTTTCTACCTTTCTTTCTTTACAGTTTATTTACTTTTTTCCGCTTATCGTTTTTCTTTCTTCTTCCTTTTCGTTTTTCTTTCTTCTTCCTTTTCGTTTTTGCTTTCCGTCTTTTTTTCTTTATTTATTTTTATTTGTTGTTTTCCACATTTCTTTCTTTCTTTCTTTCTTTCTTTCTTTCTTTACGATTATTGTTTTCCTTTCCTTATGTCTTTCTTTCTGCGTATCGTTCTTTCTTTCTTTCTTTCTTTCTTTCTTTCTTTCTTTCCGCTTAACTTTTTTATTTGTTGTGTCCATATATTCTTTCTTTCTTTCTTTCTTTCTTTCTTTCTTTCTTTCTTTCTTTCTTTCCGCTTGTTTTTATTTGTTTATTTATTTCTGCTTATCGTTCTTTCTTTTTTGCTTTACACATATCATTACTTCTTCCTTTCAACTTGTCATCCTTTCTTTCTTTTATCTTAGCGTTATTTCTTTTTCCCTTTCTTTCTTTCTTTCTTTCTTTTTTGCTTTGTTTGTTTGTTTCTTTCTTTCCTTACTTATGTGCGCTTATCTTTTTTCTTTCTTTCTTTATTTCCGTTTGTCGTTTTTTTCTTTATATATTTCCGCTTATCGTTCTTTGTTGCTTTACACATAACATTACTTTTTTCTTTCTTTCTTTCTTTCTTTCTTTCTTTCTTTCTTTCTTTCTTTACCCTTTTCCTTTCTTTCTTTTATATTTCGTTATTTCTTTCTACCTTTCTTTCTTTACAGTTTATTTACTTTTTTCCGCTTATCGTTTTTCTTTCTTCTTCCTTTTCGTTTTTGCTTTCCGTCTTTTTTTCTTTATTTATTTGTTTCCGCTTATCGTTTTTATTTGTTGTTTCCCACATTTCTTTCTTTCTTTCTTTCTTTCTTTCTTTACGATTATTGTTTTTCTTTCCTTATGTCTTTCTTTCTGCGTATCGTTTTTTCTTTCTTTCTTTCATTCTTTCTTTCTTTCTTTCTTTCTTTCTTTCTTTCTTTCTTTCTTTCTTTCTTTCCGCTTAACTTTTTTATTTGTTGTGTCCATATATTCTTTCTTTCGTTCCTTCTTTCTTTCTTTCTTTCTTTCTTTCTTTCTTTCTTTCTTTCCGCTTGTTTTTTTTTGTTTATTTATTTCTGCTTATCGTTCTTTCTTTTTTGCTTTACACATATCATTACTTCTTCCTTTCCGTTTGTCATCCTTTCTTTCTTTTATCTTAGCGTTATTTCTTTTTCCCTTTCTTTCTTTCTTTCTTTCTTTCTTTCTTTCTTTCTTTCTTTTTTGCTTTGTTTGTTTGTTTCTTTCTTTCTTTCCTTACTTATGTTCGCTTATCTTTTTTCTTTCTTTCTTTATTTCCGTTTGTCGTTTTTTTCTTTATATTTTTCCGCTTATCGTTCTTTGTTGCTTTACACATAACATTACTTTTTTCTTTCTTTTTTTTCTTTCCCCTTTTCCTTTCTTTCTTTTATATTTCGTTATTTCTTTCTACCTTTCTTTCTTTACAATTTATTTACTTTTTTCCGCTTATCGTTTTTTCTTTCTTCTTCCTTTTCGTTTTTGCTTTCTGTCTTTTTTTCTTTATTTATTTGTTTCCGCTTATCATTTTTTATTTGTTGTTTTCCACATTTCTTTCTTTCTTTCTTTACGATTATTGTTTTTCTTTCTTTATGTCTTTCTTTCTGTGTATCGTTTTTTCTTTCTTTCTTTCTTTCTTTCTTTCTTTCTTTCCGCTTAACTTTTTTATTTGTTGTGTCCATATATTCTTTCTTTCTTTCTTTCTTTCTTTCTTTCTTTGACGATACCCATATCTCTACATCCTCTACCTTTTCACTCTTTCTTCTTTCCTCTTTCTTATTTCTGGTTCTCTGTCATCTTTTATTTCTTTTTTATGCCCTTACAATATTTTTACTTCTCGTTTCTCATAAACATTGAAAAAAAAATCATATTTTTCTTTTATAACATAAAAGAGAAAATCCTCAAACCCTTTCAATTACCTACTGATCCACATCCTTCGCATTTACCTCCCAGCATCCTATCGCCACAGCCCTTCTTTTATAACCCCAACCGAAAACGACCCCAAGATTTTTCCACAAACACAAATTCTTTCTTTCTTTCTTTCTTTCTTTCTTTCTTTCTTTCTTTCTTATTGTTTTCTAATTCCCGTTCTTTGTTTGCTTGTTTCTTTCTTTCTTTCTTTCATCATTTCTTTTTTTTTTTCTGCTAATCGTTTTCTCTTTCTTTCTTTCTTTCTTTCTTTCTTTCTTTCTTTCTACTTATCGTTGTTTGCTTCCCGTTTTTTGCTTGGTTGTTTCTTTCTTTCTTCATTTCCGTTTACCGTCTTTTACTCTTTTGCCTTCCGTTTCTTTCTTTCTTTCTTTCTTTCTTTCTTTCTTTCTTTCTTTCTTTCTTTCTTTTTTTCTTAACGTTTCGATCATGCTGAAACTTGATACTAACCGGATGCACTCTTGGAAGTCTCACTTTTTCTAACAATCTTTCTATCTCTCTCTCCGTCCCAATTCTCTCTCTCTCTCTCTTTCTGTGTCTCTCTCTGTATTCTTCTCTCTTGAATTTTCAGTCCATAGAAGAAAAAGAAATAGCCATATCAGAGCCTTTGACGTCTGACATAAAACACAGCAGGGCAACGTTCAAACTATCAACACCACGAGAATTGCACACATGTAGGCTTGATCAATATATATATATATATATATATATATATATATATATATATACGACACAGATTCATTTTTTGTTTCGATGCGAATGCATCTTGTCAGGTGAGGAACAACAATGGTAACCATCGAAACAAAAATGCATCTTTGTCGTGAGTACTTGTTTGTCCGCATGTAGCATTTTTATGAGATATATATATATATATATATATTTTTAAGCATTACGCCCCGAGCAAGGCGTGAAGCCACTAGGTTGCAGGGGGTTGCGGAAGATTTGGCGCGAGAGCAGATAGGAATGATAGAAGAAAGGATGAGGAGAGGGATATTGGGTAGATCAAGGTAACTGGAGGTGTCGATTGACATTACATTTGAATAGTTGGAGATTATAGCTCCCAGGGAAACAGTAATTAAGAAGGGTGTTCCACAGGCGAGAGGTGCGAGGTATGAAGCTATTGGAGTAGAAGAGACGGCTACATTTACAAATTTCTATAGTGTAAGGGTGGGAGCGTGATGACAGCCTCGTAGGGCGCTTGAATTCATGAAGTCTGGGAACCAGTGAAAGCAGCTCATCGGAGCAATTACCATGAAAGTATTTGTAGAAAAGACAGAGAGAAAGAGGCAACGGCGCGTCTGTGAGAGAGTGACTGCAGACGAGACGCCAGATCAGGGCCAATTAGATTACATATCCGTCTCCGGATCTTGTCAAGAACTCCGAGGTAAGCAGAAGGTGCTCCAGACCATATATGGCAGCAATACTCCATTCTAGGGCGAATGGTTGTTTTGTATATTTGAAGTATCGATTCAGAGGAGAAAAATTTCCTGGCGCGGCACAGAAAGCCAACTTTCCTCGCGGTGTAAAAGCAATTGACTCAATGTATTTGTTCCATCTCAGGTCAGCAGTCAACGTGAGACCGAGCAGACGCAGGGAGTTGCTCTCAGGATATATATATATATATATATATATATATATATATATATCATCCACAGACAGACTGTTTCGCTGAATCACAGGTCATGAGTGAGGCTAGACAGGCGTCCAGTTGCCTCTAGCTAGGATCGAAACCCGGCTGACTTGGCGTCAGTCGAAGATTCTACCCAAGCCGTTGGCGCACGGAAGGCACGGAGGTGAATTTAAGTATATATATATATATATATATATATATATATATATATATATATATATATATATATATATATATTGAATGAAGAAAAGGTGCTCTCTGATAGGGTAAAAACCCGCACACACCTGATCCGTTGTGCTTTTAGACCACAGAGACCTGTCTAAAGCATGTCGGATCTAATGTACGCCGGAGAAGTCAGTCGTTTCACCTACAGCCATTAACGCAGGAAACGAGATATTGTCGCGGTCTCCGACAAAGGGACAAAGGCTCCAGTGCCATGGAACATATCTTTCAATCTCGAAGAAAAAGAGATCATATCGCAACCGTCATCATTGAAACACCTGAAACCGTTAATGTTTTTTTCTTAACGTGTACCCTCATTAGATTACCTTTTGTCAGACATAGCTCTTTCAATGATTCAAATTTCCTTTCGTTAATCTTTTGGATGATTCAGCATCTTTCATTGATTCAAGCAATTTGAATTATTCAACCACTTTCGAAGATCTGTTGATGTTTCTAGCTCTTTTGATGAGACGAGCCTTTTCGATGATTCAAACACTTTTAATGAATTCGGCTCTTTTAATGGTGATTTTAAAAGTGGAGCTTAAACTTGGCACAAGGTCGAAAGTATGGAGCACCCAGTGAGGATCAAAATCATTAATTATACGTAGTTGAGCTTGCGAGAGAAGCTTTGCTAGCCATTACACGACGTCGGAGTGCTAATGAAGCTCTTTCGATGATTGAAATTCTTTTAATGAACCCATCCCTTTCAATGATTGAAGCACATTCGAAGATTTTTTTTGATGTTTCAAGCTGTTTCGATGATGCAAGCTCTTTTAATCACTCAAGCACTTTCGATGATTGAAGATCTTTCCATGATTCAAACTCTTTTAATGAACACATCCCTTTCAATGATTCAAGTACTTTCGAAAATCTTTCGATGTTTCAAGCTCTTTTGACAATGCAAGCCATTCGGATGATTCAAGCTTTTAATGAATCCAGCTTTTTCAGTGGTCATTTTCTAAGCGTAGCACAAGGCCGAAAGTATGGAGCACCCAGTAAGAATCGAACTCATTATTTAGTCGTAATTGATGATGCAAGATAAGCTTGTTAACCATCTGTACTAGTGACTTTTCTTCAAATTACAAATGAGCAAACATAACATTCTGGCATTCAGAGAATCCAATCATTGCATGGAGTGTGTCACAGATCTGAGTTGCAGGACTGTTTCTTGCATATTGGTCAATGAATTTCACCTAAACATTTCAAACTAACCCAAAAACCAATATTGCCTATGAAAATGAACTGTACATTGTGTGTCAAAAAGAATGAACAGAAACATAATTTCTGATGAATCCACACTTTGGTAGTTGCAGATCAGCATCATAGAATAGAGCCTCAAAGCGTGAGCTTGTCAGAGATCGTGAAAGGATGGATTTCATGATACAAGCATCTCTCAACTTTGATTTTCTTAGACATCCATTTTTCTTTCATTCAGAATAAAAGCAATCAGCTTTGTTCTTGGAAATAACTTTAAGAAATCTTGCTATATTTTTAAGCAACACCATCACACCTCGTCGACTTGTCAATCTAGCTGTTTCCATGATTCCAGCTCTTTTAACCCTTTGAGCCTTGCGTTCTTGAACAGTTTTAACCTTTCTACCTGAGCACCTGAGTCAAAGTTCACAAATAACTGGTATGTAATGTTTCATGGTAGATATAAAAATAGTTACAAATGTTTACCTACCATTCAACCGGTGGCTGGGCATTACGTCATTTTTCTCTACCACTCTTCAACCGGTGGCTGGGCATTAAGTCATTTTTCTCTACCACCGTTCAACCGGTGGCTGGGCATTAAGTCATTTTTCTCTACCACCGTTCAACCGGTGGCTGGGCATTAAGTCATTTTTCTCTACCACCGTTCAACCGGTGGCTGGGCATTACGTCATTTTTCTCTACCACTGTTCAACCGGTGGCTGGGCATTACGTCATTTTTCTCTACCACTGTTCAACCGGTGGCTGGGCATTACGTCATTTTTCTCTACCACCGTTCAACCGGTGGCTGGGCATTACGTCATTTTTCTCTACCACTGTTCAACCGGTGGCTGGGCATTAAGTCATTTTTCTCTACCACCGTTCAACCGGTGGCTGGGCATTAAGTCATTTTTCTCTACCACCGTTCAACCGGTGGCTGGGCATTACGTCATTTTTCTCTACCACCGTTCAACCGGTGGCTGGGCATTACGTCATTTTTCTCTACCACTGTTCAACTGGTGGCTGGGCATTAAGTCATTTTTCTCTACACCGTTCAACCGGTGGCTGGGCATTACGTCATTTTTCTCTACCACCGTTCAACCGGTGGCTGGGCATTACGTCATTTTTCTCTACCACCGTTCAACCGGTGACTGGCCATTACGTCATTTTTATCTACCACCGTTCAACCGGTGGCTGGGCATTAGGTCATTTTTCTCAACCACTGTTTAACCGCTGGCTGGACATTACGTCATTTTTCTCAACTACTGTTCAACCGGTGGCTGGGCATTACGTCATTTTTCTCCTCCACCATTCAACCGGTGGCTGGGCATAGGGAGTTTTTTCTCTACCACCGTTTAACCGGTGGCTAGGCATTGTCATTTTCTCTACCACTGTTCAACCGGTGGCTGGGCATTACGTCATTTTTCTCTACCACTCTTCAACCTGTAGCTGGGCATTAAGTCATTTTTCTCTACCACCTTTCAACCGGTGGCTGGGCATTACGTCATTTTTCTCTACCACTGTTCAACCGGTGGCTGGGCATTACGTCATTTTTCTTTACCACTGTTCAACCGGTGGCTGGGCATTACGTCATTTTTCTCTACCACTGTTCAACCGGTGGCTTTGAATTCCACCCTTTTTGCCCTGACCACCGGTATAGCGGTACTTGTTCTGGTGAACTCTTTGTTATGGCGCCTAGACTTTATGAATTTCAGCACAGTACTAGATTGGCAACAATATCTCATCAATTTACAGTAGATTTGGCTAGATGTAACCGCAAGTTCTATGCTAACAGTTTCTTTTATCGCACTTCTAGCTTGTGGAACTCTCTTCCGGTTCCATGCTTTTCAATCAACTTTGATTTTCCAAAATTTTAATGCATTGTCAATCGTTATCTATTACCCTCCTGATTACTCTTCTTTTTTCTTATTCTTTCACACCCATTAACCCCTTGCCCCTTGTGTCTTAGTAGCATTACTGTGAAATGATAAAAAAAAACTCCTGCCAATAATAATAATTAATGTGGCACAGGCGAACATCAACAATTCTTGTTGTAGTTGGAGCCCTCAGATTGATTGGAAACGATTTCAGTAGACTAATTGAAGGGATTCCAGGCAGCACATGCTTTAAAGAAATACAAAAAAAATGTTCTTACTAGTACAGCCCACACCTTACGGAGGGCTTTAACTATGTAAAATAAATGTTGTTTTTTTTGTCTTTAAATTGCTCAGTGGAAAATGTCATGATGCCATTTTTTATCTTAGGTCTCTGGGCGGGACCCGGAAAAAAATGAATATACACTAAAAATGAAAGGAAATAAAATAACAACAATAATATTAATAATAATAATAATAATAACATGATCAGTATATTATA